AATAATGAATGATAGGGAAAAAGATAGAAAAATGAAATTTAAAAAAAGACTAAATTTTTTAAGAAGAAAAAATAGAAAGAAGAACGGATAATTCAATCGTATTTCTTTTTCCATTTTCAGGCAACTGGTAAGTCTTTTTTCTACAACAAATTTTTCGTTGCAAATTAACAATAACTTATAAATGAATTGGAAGATTTCTCTTATTGTTTACATAGCCGATGAAAACAATAAATATAATTTGGCTATATTTAGCTTATTGTTTCTGCATTCCTAAAGCAATAATAATAAATTAAAAAAGATATACCTTTTGTTGACGATAATCCAAAATAATTGCACCTGCTTTAACTAATAAATCAGTAGTGATATAATCAAATACTGGACATTTAAGTTCGATCATATCAGCACCAAATTCACGCAATAATCTTATTCGATCCAAATAATGTAATTCTAAAAATATTTTTAAGAGAATTAATAAAATTCTTTCATAATAATTTTTACTAATTAATTACAAATAATATTCGAAAAAAAGAATTACTTAAATATGTAAAATATTTTAATGATTAAAGAGAAATGAAATTTTCGCTAAAATTTTAGGATAAAAAGGAATGGAAAGAAAAATAAAAATATTTAGGTTTAGATTTAGAAAAATTAGAATGCTAGAATTTGATTAGAAAATTAGAATTTGAAAAAATTAGAATTTAGAAAATTAGAATTTGATGGAAGATTAAATTTTCATTCTCATTCTATATCATACAGATCAATATCAAATGAATATCTTGATGAAAATTGATTAGCAAAAAGAAAATCATATTTGCAGTAATTCAGAGATGTAATTGAATTTGATCAATTTGAATTTGCACTCCAATAATTAAATTTGAAATTGTAGCAATTTAATTTTGTTCAATTTCATTATTTTTATCAATTTGAAAATATACCATCAGAATGAGCTAAATGATATGCGAATTCGATAAGTGTTTGTAAAGTATCACAACCCGTTCGTTGAATAAATTGCGCCCATAAGGCATGACCTTCTTCGCATTCATCACCCATAAAACGTTCACGCCATGCGCCACTTAGAATTAATGGATCAGTACATTCTAAGATTGGCTCACATTCACGTAAATCTGCTTCTACCAAATTTGTTGGACGATTAGCTGTAAGTACGGTGACAGCAATAAGACGTTGTCGAGTTGGTGGACGACGACTTGCTGCTATTAATCGTAAATATAAATTTAAATGAGTAGGTAGTTCTGATTCAATTTGCGCCAAAAGAGCAGAAACACCATTTGGATGTAATTTATCATCATGTGGAAAGGTTATCAAATTATCATCGGATGATTGTGATGTTGATGGTAATGTAAGTAAATTTGCATTCAAAGCTCGAGAATATTGTGAAACATAAAACCAGGAACCCTGAAATATATCTATCAATGTATAATTTAAATTATTCATAGAGTTTCTAATTAAAAATTTAATAAAGCTAATAAGAATTAAAAATTTCATATGAATTGTTAAATTCATCAATTAATATTCCTTTCAATGAAGAACAAAAAGTTTAGCAGATTTCTGAAACTCTCTCTCTCTAACGAAACACAATGCAGTTGAAGTTCGAAAAATTCTGAAACTCATAGATGAATCATAATATGGAAATTTAACAGATTAATTTAACAGATTATGAGAATTGAAAAAACAGTAATATGGAAGCTAAGGAAATCCTAGAATTTGCTAAAGGATCATATAAAATGGAAGCTTAGTAGATTATTTTAATTCACTGAGAAATTACAATATTGAAGTTTAGCGGATTCTGAAATTCACCTGAAATTGACTAAAGAGAATCTCAATGTAAAAAGAAGTATTGCCTGAGGAATTGCAATGTTGAAGCTTGAAGCTTATTCTAAAATTTACTAAAGAGAATTTCAGCGTAGAATGAAGTATTGCTTGAGCTTAGAGGATTTTGAAATTTTTACTGAAAAGAACTCAACACAGAGAGAAGTGCTGCATGGGGAATTGCAATGCTGAAGTATAAGGGATTCTGAAATTCCCTAAAAAGAATCTCACTACATAAAGAAGTGTTGCCTAAGGAATTGTAATGTTGAAGTATACCGTATTCTGAAATTCCCTAAAAAGAATCTCAATATAGAAAGAAGTTGTTGCTTGAGAATTGCAATGTCAAAAGCTTGAACCTTATTCTGAAATTCCCTAAAAAGAATCTCACTACATAAAGAAGTGTTACCTAAGGAATTGTAATATTGAAGTTGAGCGGATTCTGAAATTCCCCAAAAAAGAATCTCAATATAAAAAAAGAAAATATTGCAACTAACCTGACAACATTCAAATATACTATCAGAATCAAATTGTGGTAATTTTTCACGAATAAAATCGATCAATTCATTTGGATTTTCATCAATATTTAAAACATGAAAACGATCAAATTTCTTCCATTCATTTTCATTTAACATTCGTGATGTTATCACTAATTTTAACCAACATGGTAATGCTTTCATTAGCTGAAAATAAAACCAAAAAATTTTTTAATTTTCAAATTTTTAATTTTTGAAATTTTGTTAAAAAACTTTTTTTATAATTTCCCTATTTTTGTAAACTAAAAAAAAATAGGAATGTTTTTACATATTAGAAAATAAATTGTTTCGGAAGGAGAAAAAACATAACACATATATCTGATAGTCAAATATAACACATATATATCTGACAGTCAAATATAACACATATATCTGACAGTCGTAAATATATATCTTTTTGTTGTTGTTGTTGCAAACAATTTCAAAATGCAAAATATAATCAGGAAAAAAAAATTGTCACATCAATTGATTGTCGTAAAAATAAAAATTGTCACATCAATTGATTGTCAATAACCTTTCTAACTATATAAATTGCCTTAAAATTTGAAGTTGAAAAGAAAATCAAATTTTAATTTTTAAATAGAAAAGAAAATTAAATTTCAAATAGGGCAAATAAATCAAATTTTAAATGATAAAATACTTTTATTTCGTAAATTTGAATTCTTTGTTTCAAATATATTTTAATTTAACTATACTAAAATTTGAAGTTAAAATAAAATCAAATTTTAATTTTTAAATAGAAAAATATATCAAATTTTAAATGACAAAATAACTTTATTCTGTTAATTTGAAATCTTTGTTTTAAATATATTTTAATTAGAAATTTGATTTTCTTCCTCTAAAATTTCAACATTATACTGCGTACTTTTTTTTCCCATATTAAATGTGTATAATTGTAGAAGAGATTTTTTTTGATGATTGTTTATGGAAGATCGGAGAAATTGGAGGACAAAGTTAAAGGTTATTCGCTTTTTTTTAAAAAATCCATTTCAATTAATTTAAAATGGCTTTGTTTGAAAATTATTCTGCTTCATCGAATACGTGATATATTGAAATTAAATTATTATAATGAAAATTTTTAGATATCCATGAATATATTTAAAATATATAAATTTTATTTTCAAAAATTAAATTTCATAAAGATATTGCTATTATTTCTTATCAAAAGATACTGCTATCATTTCTCATCAAAAGATATAGTTATTATTTCTTATCAAAGGATGTCGCTATTATTTCTTATCAAAAAGATATCGCTATTATTTCCGATCAAAAGATATTGCTATTATTTCATAAATTTCATCCTTCATCATCTTTATTTAAATTTATTATTTAAGTAATACCTTTATTCATTATTTAATTTCCTCCGCTTACTTTTATTTCATTTAAATTTCATTCATATTTAATATTTTCATTTACCTTTATTTTATTTAAATTTAATTCATTTTTTAATTCATCCACAATTTATCTTAACATTAATTTCTAATTCCATTATACATTTACATTTGTAAAATTCGCTTTCTTTCATTTCTTAATTCATTTTCACTTGAATGAAATTTATGAAATAATAGCGACGAGATCTTCTGATAAGAAATAATAGCGATATCTTTTGATAAGAAATAATGGCAATATCTTTTGATAAGAAATAATAGCGATATTTTTTGATAAGAAATAACAGCGATATCTTTTGATAAGAAATAATAGCGATATCTTTTGATAAGAAATAATGGCAATATCTTTTGATAAGAAATAATAGCGATATTTTTTGATAAGAAATAACAGCAATAGCGATATCTTTTAAATTTATGAAATTCAATTTTTGAAAATAAAAATTTCAAACTATAAATTAACTGTAAGATATAATGTAGTCTTTCGTCACTACAAAATGGTAATGTATCATCATCAAACAACAAAATTGGTGCTTTTACATCTATTTAAATTTGTTAAAGTGAAAAGTGCTAAAAATTCATTAATTACCAATTTACAGACTAATTAATTATTATTAGCCATTTGAGAAAATTCACAGAGTAATTAATCATTGTTAATCATTTGTACTACAAATTTTAAAATATCTTTAACAAATGGCATTCCTTTTCTTCTCTTTCCTGTTTTAGCTGAAAATGATAAAACAGTTGCAATAAAGTTGGAAGGAAAAAGTATTAAACTTTACAATTATAAAAATTATGAAATCCATATTAAAAAAAATTAGTCGAATTAATTGGAATTAATCAATATTAAAAAAGTTGATCGAATTATTCGGAATTAATCGAATTAATTAGAATTAAAATCAAATTAATTGGAATTAATCAATATTAAGAAAGTTGTTTGAATTAATCGGAATTGATCGAATTAATTAGAATTAAAATCGAATTAATTGCAATTAATCAATATTAAAAAAGTTGTCCGAATTAATCGGAATTGATCGAATTAATTAGAATTAAAATCGAACTAATTGGAAATAATCAACATTAAAAAAGTTGATTTAATCGAGTTAATTCCGATAAATTTATTAAATTCAAATTTTATAATAGCTTCTATAATAAATAATTTTAAATTGCATTTTTCTAATTCCAAAAAGAAATTTTCCATCAAATTCGAATTCTTTAGTAAAAAGGTAAAAAATTGTAGAAATTATTTTCCTTTTGTTAGAAAATTATAATTTTTAATTAATTAAAAAAATTATACTTTTTTTTAAAGACAAATTATATTTCTTTGCAAAATTATACTTTTTTAAATAATTTAAATATATTGTCAAAATTTGCATAAAAATTTATGAGAAAGAAAAAAAATAATTATTTTAAAATTTCTTTCAAAAATATTTCTCTTTCCCTCTCTCTTTCTCTCTCTCCCTCTCCCTTTCTCTTTCTATATAATAGAAATCTATAAAATCTATATATATAATCCCTCTCTCTTTCCCCCTCTTCTTTCTAAATAATTTAGAGGAAAATTTTAACTTTTTTTTTTACATAAATTATACTTTCTATCTGATTTAAATATATGTCAAAATTTGCATAAAAATTGGGAGAAAGAAAAATTATTGTAAAATTCCTTTCAAATATATTTTCCTCTCTCTCTCCCTCTCTCCCTCTCTCTCTCCCTCTCTCCCTCTCTCTCCCTCTCTCTCCCGTTTCCTTTCATACAACAAATAATATTTGAACGTATGAAAATTCTCATCAAATGTCATAACAAATTATAAATATATCATATCTATTCAAGCATATTATATTTAACCTTTCTTCTGAAGTAAAACTTTTTTGGATATAGTTCATTAACTATCAATTATAATTTATTATTGAAGTGAATATAAAATAATATCTGTAATATAAAATAAAATGATAACCTATCTGTAATTATTATCATTCATTTAGTACTAATTATAGTTTATCATTTATTTATTATTGAAATAAATACAATAATATCTGTAATTAACTAAAAAAAAAATGATATGTGTAATATAAAATAAAATGATAACCATCTGCATTAATTATAGCTCATTTAGTGCTACTAATAATAATTTATTCAGTTATTATTGAAGTAAAATAAAATGATATCTATAATATAAAATAAAATGATAAAATCTAATAATATATAATCAATCATTCAAATGTACATATATGTGAGAAAGCTAAAATGTTATCATTCTTCTTTTTCCTCCTTTTCTTGCTCAATGCTTTTGTAACTGTAATTGCAATTATAAATTTCATTTAATTAATAATGCATACCTATCGTAAATATTTTACCTGTCGTAAATATTTTACCTGTCACAAACATTCCCATTTTATGTTTTATTTTGCTATTCGAATTAATTCATATATATTTATATTTTATTCCTTTATTTTTTACTCTTTTCAAAGTTTTTCAAATTTTGGAAGAGAAAGCTAACTGAGAGATTTCGATTGATAAGAGCGCATTGAATGATTGAAATATTAGTGACAGTCATTTTGAATTTTTTCCTTTCTCTTTTTGAAATGATTGACATGTATGTATGTGTGTATGTGTGTGTGTGTATGTGTATGTGTATGTGTGTGTGTATGTGTGTGTCATTACTAAAAATGCAAATTTTTAGTAATGAAATGTGTCTCGAAAATATTTGTAAAATTTTCAAGAAATTATTCAATTTCAATTTCTTTTTCTTTCTACCGTCATTTTTATGTGATAATTATGTGTTTGAGAGATAGAATGTTAGACTAAAGATTAGATTTGATATATTAAAAAATTATGAAATTTTAAAATTGAAATTATTAAATGATATTTCACTTAAGCTCATATCATTCTCTCCCATTATTCAATAATACGATTAGCACTGATATATTAAAAGATTATGAAATTTTGAAATTGAAATTATTAAATGATATTTCACGTAAGCTCATATCATTGCCTCCCATTCAATAATACGATTAGCACTGATATATTAAAAAATTATGAAATTTTAAAATTGAAATTATTAAATGATATTTCACGTAAGCTCATATCATTGTCTCACCAGTCAATAATAGGAATAGCACTGATATATTACAAAATTATGAAATTTTAAAATTGAAATAACTAAATTATATTTGACATAAACTTCAAACATTTCCCATTCTTACTTTGATATTAGAAAATTTGAAATTTTAAAATTGAAATTATTAAATTATTTTATACGTAAAATCACATCATTGTCTCATCCATTCAATTAACATTAAAATTTAAAATTTAAAAAATAAAAATTAAATGATTTCATATGTAAACTCACATCATTGTGCCATTTCAATAATACAATTTACAATCAATCTAATCAATTATTCTAATCAAATTATCCCATTTCAAAGAATGAAATTGTAATGGGAAAAAAATTTTTTGATGAAAATGTAGGAAAATTGTGTCGGGAGAAGAAAGAGAGATTCGACGATAAGTATCTTTAATGAAAGCTCATTAGTAGGCAAGGTGAATTTGGCCTCTTTCCTTATCTTTTTACATTACTTTTAATTATCGTCCTTGACAAAAATGATTTTGCAGTTTTGTTGCAACGAATAATAAATAAATATAATAAAAGGTAAAAGGTAAGATTTAAAATTATTTCATAATTTTAATTTGACAAAATGATTTTTCAGTTTTGTTGCAACGAATAGTAAATATAGTAAAAGGTAAAAGGTAAAAGGTAAAAG